TCCATAATTTAAAAAAAGTGACATATTATAATTGTGTTTTTAAATTTGGAAATAAAAAGAAAAAGTAAGTGCCTAACCTAAAAAATTTATTCTTAATTTTATACTATGGAACTATTATTTTAGATAATTCTAGTAATCTTATGTTCAAACAAGTAAATTTTATAAACTGAAATTATCGCAAATAATTCGAAAAAATTAATTTTAGATCACAACTCTCAGAGAAGTGAATGAAATTTTAACGAAGAAAACGAAGTATTTTTTAAAATTAAATATTAGCCAATAAGCTCAGCTTAAATTCTTGGAATTATATTCAAAGAACATAACCTGGAAATAATATTAAGAAGGTGTGAAATTTCCAAAATTTAAATTAATTCTAATAAATTATTATGAAAACTGGTAAAATATTTTTAGGCTAAAATATTTCAGTAAAAAAAAAAGATCCGCTGACATTTTGAAGTTATTATACATACATATACATATAGATATATATATTAAAATTATAATTATTTATAGTAAAAAATGTTAATATAAGAAAATGTTTATAAATCGTTGTTGATTTCAAATTTTAATGTAGAAACGAGAGAAATTAAACACAAAGATGCGAAACGAAAATTATTGGAAAGATCGGAAAGTCGGCGCGTTACAATTTTCAACTAGAATATATTAGCCTAAAAATTGATACTTACAAGATTACACATATGTATATAGTATGAATAATGACATAAAACCAGACATTTTGACCAAACATTTAAAAAATAAAACTTTCTATACAATTCATAATACAAAAGAAAAGAATCTCGTGGCAAAATGATAACACCGTCATCATTACACACGAACGCGCTTTTCAATACATTCAATATCTTTTCAAAAGTAAGTAAAGTCACAATAGAATAAATAACAAAGACAGGACGAATATTAATGGATTCACTAAAAAACAAAAATACAAAAATCGAACATTTCATTGAATGTCCTACAAAAATATTGTTAAACTATAGCAAAATTATAAATGATTCCTTAATCTAAACCAAAGTTGAAAATTATAAAACACACACACATATACTCGTACGCAGATATAAAAATCAGAAACTAAAAACAAATGTTAATAAAAAGAGGACTAGAATATTTTTGTTTTCAATATCCTTTGCGGTTTTATTTATTCATTTAACATTTTATTAGATCTTTAATAAAAGATCCCCATATTATGTACCTATATCGTTTATGTGAAAAAGACAATGAAAATCTTTCTTTTCTATTCTATAAAATGTTTTTGAATTTATAAAAATTTATTCTAAGAAATTTTCTTAAACGCTAATTTTATAAGAGCAAATAGTATAAGGCAACAAAATTTTATATAACAAACAATATAAAATCGTCCTTTATCATCTGTTAAAGATAATGATTTTTTTTTTTAATTCAAACAATAACAATAAACTTATATACAATATATAAGTGCAAATGTTCACAATTTTTGTATATGGCAATTGAATTTTCCAACCAGTTTTGTAAAATAACACACATACATTTTTAAGTTCATATATATTGCAATATTTCTGTATATTGCGGTTAAATGAAATGTGAATTCAAAAAGCCCTCATTACAAGCCTTAACCATGCCCGTTTAAATTTCATATAACTTTATGGGAATAAATTTTTCTCCATATATAAAAATCATATACAAGATCTATGTATGTATTAATGTATATGCATTTATATAACTGTTCATAGTCAAAGCTAAAACATTAAAATCAAATGGGGGCACAAAAAAAAATATGAAGGCTTTATCATGTGTATTTTTACGCACATATTGTAAGCATTTAAAATATACGCGAACAATTACATTTCATATTCTTCTATGAAGGGTTCTTTTTTAACCACGCCTGTTCTGTAAATTGAGGTGATTTTTAAGAGTAGTTGGAATTTATTTTTTATTTTTCTTCTGATTTAATAAAAATATGAAGTTCTTTAAGAACACAAATTGAACTGAATTCAAAAAATAATTTAATATTTCTAGAAATTGAAAAACAAACTTTTTCCAAAATTACATTTTGAAAAAAATTCTTTAAAATTTATCCTAAATCATTCAAATAAAACGCATATTATATTTCTGCTATGTTTACCAGCTTTTTAAATTGATTTTTGAAAATTCCATTTTTAAAATAAGTAGACTACCTACTTCTCAAGCATTATGTTTTTTATACGCTTTTTCTGGCTTAACCATTCTGGAAGATCAGAGCCTTATAATAAGGAAATAAACAATTTTTAATCCATTTCAAAGTATAACACTAAGTACAGACACACGCATAATTGTAAGTTGAATTCGTCGACGGGTTTATAAAGGCATTTAAATTACAGTCACGTTTTCGAGTTGACGAATTTTGAGCTTTTCTGTGCATTCACTAAATTCCGAACAGAAAAAATCTATTCCAGACTATTTGTGCGCTAATTCGGGCTTCGGGATTTTTCCTAGGTATTTCGTGTCAAAAGTTTGATTTTTCGAAACTTTTATTTTTTTACAAGACATACCGGGAATAAAAATCGGTATGGTTGAAAAGTCCATAAGATCCATTACAAAAAATGGTATAATGATAAACATTAAGCATATCAGTTGGTCAAATGCACGACCATTTATGCAAAAAACTCAAATTTTATTAAAAAAACTTATTTAAAGACAAAAATTAATTTAAGTAATTTAATTAGAAAATTAGATTATACAGCGCTATTCCAATTAACTGGCCTCTTTTCTAAAATTTGAAAACTTTTAAAATGCTCTCTTGTAAAATATTAAATTTGCTATTTAGCTTATCTTTGCGTTTAACCGTCGATATACATTCACACATACTTGCATTCATTTTAATATAAACATGTATATCACATGAGCTACAATTCAAATAAACAAAAACAAATCTTCCATATTGAAAACGAAACCCTAAAATAAGTTTCAATTTCAAATTTTTCTCATATTCCCATTAAAGTAACTCATCATCTTCATCACCGTAACCACATATAGAACAACACAATCCAAAAATGTATTAAATTTTTTTCCAACCCCAAAAACCAAAGTCCTGAAAAACGTTTCAATATATGTATATACAAAACAATATAGACAAAAAAAATACTACAATAATAAATTATTTTCCAAATCAGCAATTTTTATACCAAACCTCCCTAATGTCATTTAACCAACGACTTACAACAAAAAAAAAAAAACAAAGCAAAATTTCAAACGCATCAGTTCAAAAATTAAAAAACCCCCCCAAAAAACCTTCAAAAAATTTTATCAGAAAAAATTTTCATATTACAATATGCACAATGTAAAATTAACAAAATCTAATAATGAAAAAAAAATGCTTAACGCGACCACAAATTTAACAATTTTTAATACTTTAATATTATAAACATGCATACATAAGCATACACGTGAATGATTTTTATGATATTTATACATACAGACTAATAGAAATTCAAAAAAGAAAACTGCCTCAAAAATAACAAATATGAAAGAGGATAGAATTTTTTATTTAATTTCGAAGAGTTTCTATTGCAATCATTCTATATATATACACACACTTATAATATATATATTTTAGCCCTTACCAATCTAATCTCCCATATTTGCCTTATTCTGGATGTTATATTCATTACTTATAAATTTTTGCCTTTTCATTTCTCCCAAAAAATATATATACGATATTTTTTATAGGAATACTCGAATATCATTCCCACATACATACGTTCAAACTAAAAATATAAAATTGCAAAAACCTTAAAACCGTGAAAAAATAAACCCACTAAAAAAGGGAGAGATCAAATCTCATCCGAGTTGTAAAATAAATTTCATTTCATATAAATATGTATATATATATATATATAAAGAACCCTGTATGAAATATATAATACCGATTCACAATAATTATGTAAGTATGCAAAGCCAAAAGATAGAGAAATTGTGAAAACCGCACAACAAAAAATTCACTGTAATATTATAAACACATACAAACATTTGTAAATACAAATATGCATTTTAAATACAATTAAACAGCAAATGTCAGAGAGCTTTACATATTATTATACAATCTATATATAAAATTCAACAAATGCACAATTTCACTACATACATATGTATATACAAATTTAAAATATATAATTATATAAATTCATCATTTATACATAAGTGGCATAAAAATCACCCCTAAAATATATAAAACACACTTAAAAGCAGAATAAAAACAAAAAAAAACACAAAAAGAGGGTTGAAAACATGTCAGCACAAATGATAGTAAAGGCAAAATCATAATGTTCTTCTTTAAATCCAAAGCAGCACTTACGAGTATAAATTGTATACAATTTGGGTATAAAAGGGAAAGTGTAATCACATACATATATATACAAACAATATACACTCTTAAAGGAGGAGTATACATAAAGATCCTTAAAATATTAAATATTTGTAATCGTATATATAATGCTGTTGCACTCAATCCAAACAATAATACCAATAATAAAAAAACGAATAGAATGGAGAAAATAATCAGAATAAAAATAAAGCAAAATGAAGATTTTCAACCACCATTTGTATATTATACTCGCTCCCTTTTATATTCCTTCTCTAAGCACGGGGAATAAACAAAAATTTAATGAATATATGTGTGTACATATGTGTAAGGTGAACAAGAATTTTGACAACCAAAATATAAACACTACAAGGATATTAAAAAGATTTCAGTTTATTAAAGGATCTCAGTTAGTGAAGATCACAGTTTATTTGTGTGAAGAGAAAGAAAAAAAATTATTTTATAATTTTTTTTTTTTATTTTTTTTTAAATTTTTAACTATTTTTAAGTTTTAAATTCAAATTTACCTTTTTAATGTACACTGAAAATTAAAAAAACAAAAATATTATACAAGAATTTTAAAACCAGTGATTTTTGTTCTTTTATTTTTAAATATATTTGTGAAAATCTTGTATAATTTGTGAGGAAGAAAAAAATAACAATATATAAAATGTCTAAAATTGATATGTCACCGCCTCAAACATATTCGCGCCTATTTCGTCCATGGGATAATACAAAATTAACAAATCGTAAAGATACCGGAGAAATTTTTGTACAAAATGAATTCAAAATTTCTAATATTAATAATATTATGTTAAATGATAACTATGATAATATGTTAAAATCTAAATTAAATATAGATGAATTAAATAATACAACAGCATTGGCTGCAATAACTGCACCATTTGCATTACAAAATGCATTAATCGATCCATTAGGATTATCATCAACAGCAATAGCAGTAACAGCATCTGAATATTATTTTGGTAATACAAATATATTATCACCATCATCATCATCATCATCATCTTTGCTATCAACAACACAATTAATTAATTCATCTCAATCATCAATAATTAATAATAATGAATTACAACAACAATCTGTTTCAACAATAATTGATCCATTAGCAATTAGTTTTATGGAACATGAATATGCTCGAGTTATGGCTGAAGATGCACATTTAAAAGCATTAAATGCACGTAAACAGAGACCTAAAAAATTCAAATGTCCACATTGTAATGTAGCTTTCTCGAATAATGGACAACTTAAAGGGCATATTAGAATTCATACAGGTAAAATACAAATATTTTAAGTTCAAATTAAATTATTTTTTTGAAATTTCAAAATTAAATTTAAATTAAAAAAATTTTAACAAAATAAAATTAATTTCCAATTTTTTATTTTCCAGGTGAAAGACCATTTAAATGCGACCTTGAAACATGCGGGAAAACTTTTACAAGAAATGAAGAATTAACACGTCATAAAAGAATTCATACAGGATTACGACCCTATGGTTGTTCAAATTGTGGTAAAAAATTTGGTAGACGAGATCATTTAAAAAAACATATGAAAACTCATATGCCACAAGAAAGACATTTAGGACATGCAATTTATGTGCCTATGTACCCATATTTATATGGCTATTAGTAAATATATAAAATAAAACTATAAATCGGCTAGAATCAAGAACAAGTTCATGCGTTACAAAAATAAAGAAATTTTTGGAAAATGAAATTTTATTCAACAAAAGTTGGACACCATATTATATGAAATTTATTTAAAGAACTGCAAGTAAAGTGATTTTAGATATTTAATAAAAATTAAGAGAAATTCCATAATATAGAATTTGTTAGAATTGTAAATAAATTTTTTTTACATGTATAAAATATAGAATTAATTATTTTTTAAAAAAAAATTTATATAAGAAAATAATGTGTATGTCATTAGTTTTATAACATTGTCATAAAATATTTTTGTACAAATTTTAAAAATATTTTTATAAAAAGAAGAAAATATTAAAAATTAAAAAGTTATTTTTTTTGTTTGTTGTTGCTGAAAGCCAAGCAAGTTTTTTATAATTACAAATTGAAGTTCTATAATGAAGAATAATAAGCCTGTTTAAAAAATTTGCATATTTTGTGGTGCAATAGAACACTGAAAGAGTGAGTAAGTATTAATTAATATTTAAAATATTTGACCAGTTTGCCGCCAATCATATTTGAAATGTAACGCAACTATACCACAAAAGAAGTACGTTCGAAAATCGTAGCGTGCTTAAAGTTCTAAATCATTTTTAAAGATTTTTTTAAAAGCTCATTAATAACTCAATTATGGATACAAAGAGAGGTTTTTGAAGTTTAACTTAGAACTTTAAGTGCATATCTAAATTAACGGAAATTTCTTAGCTTTCGCATGCTAAGAAAAAAAAATTTTAATATTAAAAATTTGTTTTCTACTTCAAACAGTTTTGTCAATTAAATTTTTTCTCTGTTTAATTCAAACCAGCTATTTGATATAGTTTCCTTCTTTAATTTTTATTATGCTCAAAATTAAATTAAATTGTTTTGAAATTAGTTTAATTTATTATTACCCTACACTAATTTATTATTATAAAACCCTACAAAAAGTTCCTGAAAAGAAAAACTAAATGAAAAGTTTTTAAGGAATTGAAAATTTTTATAATTTGCATAAATTTGGGAGAAATATATTTATTTTAGTTGGTTTCTCTACAATGCAACGCATAAGAGATTTATCATTAATAAAGGATATTTTGCAAAATTTGGCAAAATTTATCGGAGGGCAAGAAGGTAAAGAAAAATTTTATTCAAGTAGTAAATTGTGATGATTAAATTTTAGTGTTGGAACATTTTATTTATAAACAGAATCACATATTTTTTATGTTAAATGAATAATTTTTGGTAAACGAATTAAAAGACAGTCTGGACATATTTCTAAAAACTAAACATTTTTCTGGACATATGCTAAAAGCTAAACTATGATGTATAGAAAGCCTCATTTTTATAACAACAACATGTGTAGTTTAATCAAAAAGTAAAATGAAACAAAAACTAGAATACTAATGATATGCACGTATACTCAATAATCCAAATATATTAAATTACCTTACAATTAAACAGGTCTTGAATTATGATGAAGTCTATAGGTATTTGTTTTCAAAGCAGCTATTTTGTTCGTATAATATGCAAATAAAATAGTTAACCAATGCTTTTACAATGATTTTATACAATTGTCAAGAAATAAGAATTACATAGTTATATAAATTGAAGTAAATTCTATTAGATATTCCAAATTAAGACGAAATTTCCTCAATATCTTGACTTCACATTACTTTACCGTATTCCGAATATTTGACTTTCAATTTCATATTCATTACAATCAACAATAGTTCAGTAACCTTTTGAAAATTTGCGAAACGAAAAATATATTCATTTATAAATAAAAGCAATCATTCAATAAATTAAGATTTATGGAATCAATAAAAATTAAAGAAGTTACAATTATACAACAGCAAATTTTATTTCAAAGGTTCTACCAGTATATTGCCTTTTATTTTTTTACACCCATTCAGAGTGACAACTTCTTCCGCTTCTTATACATTTTATATTTCAATCTTTTTCTGTTTAGCACTTTAATTGCTTAATTTTTAAATTTGTACTTTTAAAGTCCTTATATTTTTTGTTTATTTTGTTAAATGAATGAACAAATATACACATATGAACTTGAACAATAATTAAAATTGAAAATCAATTTGTTAAAATTTTGTTGTATATAAAAAATCTTTTATTTATTTCAAATACAGAAAGACACTACTTGCGCACAAAACATTTTCAAAATCAAAAAAAATTTATTTTCAATTGAATAGAACTCCTGCATGCTCATTCAAAAATCTACTGAAATTTGAATTTTTTTGATATTATTTTTACATTTATATTATGTAGAAGTTACATAAATACAAAGCATAAATAATACAGGACCTACCATTACGATTTTCAAAATACATTGTTTGTGTACAAGAAGTTTAAAATTTAAGGAATTTTTTAAATTTATATTTTACCACTTTGTTCACAAAATATAAAATTTTTGTCTTTCAAACCATTGATGACTTAGTTCCTTTTTTTTCATCATAACTTCCTGATAATTATCTATATACCAAAATAAATGATGAAAAATGTAGTTGAACTTCAATTTTTCCAATATAATATTGGTTACTATATAAATTTCAATTTGATATTAAATATCATTTAAGTATAATATGTTTTCAATAGTTTAATCTCCAGCTGTGATGTGATAATTTTGTTTAGTAAATTAAACAATAAAATCCGGAAGAACTAAATAACTATTCATACATTATAGGTTAAATTGGGCAATTCTAATTGTTCAAATTTTTCGAGCAATTTAAAAAAAAAGATTTTATTATTTTCTTGATTTTATAAATAAATATTTAATGTAAATAAAATAATATTTATTTTGAGTTGTTAAATTTTATTTTATATGAATTGAAGTGAAAATAGTTAACAATTTTTAAAATATATTTTATTATATAGAATTCGAAGCAAATAAATTTTCATTGCAATATTATTGTAATTTAAGGTTTTTAATGTAAAATTTTTTGACAACAGCAATTTCGTATTTGAAATCATCATTACACAAAAGTTGAATAAAACTCGTGGGAATTGGCTTTAGCCTTATTCAATAGAACTAATTATTAAACATCTCAATTCATTTATTTTTAGATTATTAAGCAAAAATATATAATTTCGAGTTCTAGTGGTTACGAATTTTTGTGTTCCGATTCAAGATATATTCACACTTCTTAATTCATCAGACTTATTTCCATGAATGTTATAAGTATTAATTCATTCATATTTCGGCCTTATCTCGCATAATTATTATTTTTAGTGATTTAAAGCTTAAATTGAATTCGATAAACAATAGTTATATTGAATATCACCTATATATGAATTCCTTAATTTATTAATTTTGAATAATAACTATAATTTATCAAATTAATTAATAACTCAATTAATTTACTCTTGAACTTTATAATTATTCAATTTTATTTGATTTATTCCTAGTAGAGTTAGTATAAACTTGTATAAAAACTTAAGCAAACTAATTTTTTTTTATCAATTGTTTTATATTTAATTTAAAAAAAAACAAAAATAGATAAGGTTTGTAAAATTTGTTTTTATCTTTAAAAAAAAATTTATACTCGTAGATATAAAAAACTATAATAGCAGATCAGTAGTGCAAATTTTATTTTGAATACCAGAGCCTGGAAACTTTTACGGTCGACTTAAATTGAATTTTACGAGTAGTTTATGAAGTTTACGTATAGAACGTGTAAGAGAAAAATAGTAATTGTCAAATTTTTTCTTATTCGATTAATAATATTCGATTATTAGAAGTCGATTATGAATATTTATTTGGAAATTTTATTGTATTTCTGCAAAAAAATTTTTTTTTGCTTCTGAAATAAAAAATAAAGAAGCTAATTATACAAAAAAAATGATTGTCTGTAAAATTTGTTAACCAATTCATATTTTAGGTACTTGATACTTTTTAGTTACAAAATTAATTGAATTTTCCAAACAAATCTTTATAAATTTTCCAAAAAAGAAAACCAATTATTTTCTATTAAAAAAAATATAAATAAAATTCATCACATTTTATACAAAATAATGAAATTGAACCACTCTAATTAATCACTCGCAATTCTACGATAAAATATTTTATCATAAATTCAAATCGATAAAATAAATGATTATGAGAAAAAAGAAACCTTAAAGAAATAATATTATCTAATTATAAAGTTAGTAATTTCTTAACTATTATTGTTAGAGGAACTAACTTATCAAATTTTCATAAATGTTTACTAAAAATTAAGATTCATTCTAAAAAAAAAATACATACACACTATGAATTTCTTAGTGACTCAATGACAATGATAACAACATCGAATTGAAAATTTACAAAATTTACTGTTAAAACAAAAGTGTATAAAATTAAAATTACATATGTTTAGTGATAATTGAAAAAGAATTTAAAAATATAATCAGTTTAAAAATTTTAATTTAGCAATTAAATATAATGAGAAAACCTGAACCTATTTTAATTGTAATTTTTATACTTTCAAGTATTGCATTAGCAATAAATGTGACAAGTATTGCCACTGATGAATGGGTAATTTTAAAAAGAATTTCATTTTAAAAACATGAAAATGATATTTTTTTTATCATTTTTAGATAATATCAACTGCAACATATTCACTCGCTTCCAAACCTAGTCTTATTAATTATGGTTTGTTTGCAGGTTTTTTGGAAAATTATTTAATTTCAAATCCTTTTAAATATTTACTTACAGGTAAATGTTTTAAATTATAGGGGGGTTTAAACAAATAATTGTGTTAAACTAGAAATAATAAAGAAAAGAATAATGCTCAATTAGATTTTTATGATTTATTTACTAATTATAAATTTACCACAAATATTTTGTTAGATAAAAAATTTCTTATAAAAGGTACTTATTATTTGTAAACTTAAGTGAAAATGTCAATTAAGATAAAAATAATGTTATCTTCCAAAGCATATTTTAAAAAGTAGGTATTTAAATTGCTTTAAATTATTGTTTGTAAAAATCTTTTTTAAAATACTAGAGAAAATTAAAGATATATGTACATATTATGCACATACATACATTTATTATGTATGAATATGAAAATATTTTAAATAATGTCGATTATTGACGTACACTCTGTTATAAGCATTCTGTGATTCACTATAAAACATATACATATTATATCATAGTGGCACTTATAAACAAGTGTTCAACGTATGTGATAAATACAGTTAATAAAATTATCAATTCTGTCAAAAAATTTTGTTTACTAATTGTATTGAATTTACTAATTATGTAGACATATGTACATAATTGACAGTAGATAAAATAATTAATCATTTAATTAGTTAATTTAGTGTAAAAAGATGGAGAAAATATAAAAAAACTTATAAAAAACAAAATAATAACATTACAAATTATTAATACAAATACAATTGGCAAAATTATTTCAAAAATCTTGTTAAATTTTTATTAATTTTGTTTGATTAAAAAATTTAAGGAAAAATTATTTATTCAAATGACATTTAAGGTATAAATTTTTTTTTAATAAAATTCAATATTATTTTTCAGCAACTTGCAATTATAGCGAAGGAAAATGTATGTACAGTTGTCATAAAACATCAGAAAAACGACAAGAAGAAATAATAAAAATAATAAATCATGAAAATTTAGAACCTTGTGATCCGAACACCGAAAACTCATTTTTCCATTTCCAATTAAAAAATGGTAATTTTATTTAAATAATTTTGAGTGTGCGTTACATACTAACTTAAATATGAGTTACAAAAATATAAAATAAATTTAAATATGTATATGTATTTAATAAATTATGACAATTTTCATTTTAGGAAATATTAAAGAAAAAGCTAATAAAAAAGATTTATTAAATGATAATCATTTTATTGGTTCCGGTTATTGGGTATGCACTGTAACTTGTCTCATAATAACATTAATATTTTCAACAACTGGATGTATTTTCTCAATTATAAATTGCTTTTGGAGTCCAGTTGAACCTATACTAAATATTTTTGGATTATTCATATGGAATGGAATAGCAGCTGGTTTTGGATTTTTAACAATGATCATTTGGGGAATATTATATGAAACAACATTAAAATATAATGTTGCAATAACCGATACACTAAGATATCCAGATCCATATTCTTCAGATGGTTTATCAAACTTAGGATATTCATATTTTATATTATTGGCTGAAATTTCATTTAGTTTAATTAATATTGGTTTATTAGTTTTGAGAAATTATCTATTAAGTAAAATACCACCACCAGTTATTATTGATACAGGTGTTGATACAATGTTAACATTTTATTAAATTAAATTTTAATAAATATAAAATCTTATAAAATAAATTAAATATAATATTTTTTTTAATTGCGTTAGAGAAATGCATATTAAATAATATCCAATTCTTTTTTAAAATTTTATCTAGTAAATTAATATTTAAACCGAATATAAAATATTGATTTTATTCAATTAATTTGTGAATTCATAATTTTTCCATTAATGGAAATGAATAATTAGCCTAGGTGATAAGCAAAATAGGTAGGAATATATTATACATATACTTCTCTGTAATATTTAGTTTCATATGGATTGCAATTATGAAAATGTAAAATTCCTTCAAATTCAAGAATAATTTTTTATTATGAATTTCTTTCATAACTAAAATATAAATGTTAATCTAAAGCTAAGCTCTTAAATACCACACACAATGTTAAGGAAAGAAATTTATATATTAATTTACGATTTATAAGAAAAGAAAAATAATTTTATTAAATTTCTAATGAAATGATATATCTCAATTTAATAATTTCTTTCTTATCGATCGATCAATTTTATAACATTTTCAAAATATAGGTATTCGAAAATTCAATTCTTTCAAGTCAGACAAAAGTATAATATAGTAGACATTGTATCGCCAGAAAATACCTTATTTAATTATTACTTAAATATGAATGGAATACTATTTTATGATTTCATTCTTAACTCTCTTTTTCTTAAATTCTTTGTAAAGAATTGCAACAATTCAAACAATATTGAATTGAACAAATTTTCTTCTTTTGTATTCAATAAAACTTTGTTTACGCAAAAATGTCATCTTATTCATTATTGATGAGAAATTTATTAGTATAATTTTAAAATATAATAAAATAATTGATAAATATATTTATTATTACAATAGCACTAAGGATAGAAATTTTTTTGTATGTACTTTTTCTGCGGTTTTAAGGAATGAAATTTCTCCTCAAGTAGATTATTTAATAGAAATTTTTATTTGTAATATGTGTAGATCTAGCAACGTATTATGATTATGTCTATTCGTTTTGAATATTACACAATTACTATATTGCTAAATAACATTTTTACATCATGGAACAAAAAAAATCATAACTTGAGCCGAACTAATTAAAATCATAATTTTGAGCCGAACTAATTGATTTTCTTTGTTTCAGCACTGTAAAATTTTAAAACCTAACTGAAGTGTTTGCTAAACATACATTGCTTGAACGGATCTTAGAGTTAGTAGGGTTGATATTATAATTTAATGGCTATAGTTTTTATAATTATAATAGTAAATTTCCTATTTTTATAATCATTGCAGCAACATTACCATTGTATCTTTTTGCACTAATCTTATACAATTCATCTAATAATTTTGTTACGAGTATATAACTGCATGGGTAAATAGAATTTTTTTTTGTACAAAATAATTTGCAAAAAAAAAGAAAGAATAAAATTCAAAAGGTCAGCTTTTATTTTGTTTCTCGCACCATAGGTGGTTTCATATAATTGATTACGATAATATCTATAACAATAATAGTATAGTAAGTATATGCAGTGTGTGTATATGCACATAAGTATGTGGAAAGTAGATTTATTTAGTAAATTAATTTTTCGAAATATTTTGGTATAAAAAAAATATTAAAAAAAAATGTATAGATATGTAATTCAATTACTATTGAAATCTATAATAAAATGCAAATTACAAATTGAATGTGCAATGTGAATATGGAAATTGAAAATGGATTAACAAAGGAGACCAATACATATATTTATTAAGGACTCTAAAATTTTAAATGACCCAGTCGAATGCATATGGTGTGTATGTGTTATACAATGGTGATTGTATACAAAAAATTGTAGGTAAACCTATGTATATTTTCGAATCAATAGTAAAATACATAGACACATACTAAATGTAGTTGCATATTCAATATTAAAACTTAAATATTCAAAATTAAAAATGAGAATATGAGTTAAATGGGAATTCTAAAAAAATTATAAATATTTCCGGATTTTATTAAATATAGCTTCTTATGTATGCACATACATTACGTATTAGAGTTCTAATCTAATTATATAATAAATTTAATACAGTAGCTGACATTTAATATACCTGTTAATATAATAACCATATTATAGATTATCCGTCTCGTCTTGGATGACTTAAAAATTGTGTTACCCATATGATCGATAAACAGTTGAACATAACTTAAAAAAAATTTAAAAATTTCTGTAACCTATCTAGTAGACAAAATTTGTTGTTAGATCTCAAATAATACAATTATTAACACTACGAATAAAATAAATTAGTAAAAAACACCTCCCTACATAACAATAAAATGTAATATTTAACTGAAAAATAAAAAAAAAGTATTGGAATACAAAAATAACAAAATTCCAACAAAAATTACATAATATAAATCATTTAATGTCGTCTTAATGTCTGGTTTTAAAAAATAAATCAGTATACAAAAATATTTAAAGAAATTGTACACAAAAAGGTTCTCATGGACCTGAAAAGTACTCCTAAATGATTTTGTTTTTCTTTTCAATATACATACATGCAAACATACATATTTATGTACATACTGGGCAATGAATCAATGTAACGAGGAATACAAAGAAACCTAATGTAATTTTAGCAACAAAAAAAATATTTTACCTTTTTACCTGTTGCATTTAATATTTGTATTTTCATCAAATTCCAATTTCATACCATGTAAAAAAGTGTGTATGGTGTTATGGATGCTGATCTAGTAGTTGAATGAACGCATACTTTTTGGTTAGAACTATTATTGGAACAGTACGAGTATTTAGTTAAAATGTTTTTATTATATAAAGATTCGCTGTACATATTTCACTGCAAAAATTTTCACGTTTCATAATTGGGGAAGTTGTTCTACATGAAATTTGCCTAAATATCTACATATTACGTTATAATGTATGTATATATAAGAAAACATTAAAAACCATTTAAACTCTTTTTGTATATGAATATCTGAATAGACAAATAATTTTTTACAAATAATCTATATTTTAAGATTGCTAGTTTTTTTGTGTATTTACAAGTCTACCGTGTAATTATGGAAGCTAAAATTATTTTACAAGAATTTTCTTCTATTATAACAAACAAAATTTTATATTACTTTTAGTTATTAAATTCATTATTCGTGATAATAGTAGAATTTTATAAAAGCAAAAAATACAATTCAATTTATAAATATAAAATGGCTTTTATTATTATAATATAAAACTGGAAAAATATAAAAAAGGTATAAAAATACATTTCATTTTTATTCGATCTTAAATTTAATAATAGAGTATTAAATATTTCAACAGTCGATTAAGTATTCAAGTAATTCGAGTAAATATTGAAAAGCTTTAGATATAGAAAATATACATAATTAAAAAATATGTTTTCATAATTTTATGTTAAATAAGTAATTAAATATTTACTTAAAAATATTACGGCATTTTGTCTTATTACTGATTTCATTTAAATGCTAAAATACTATAAACACATTGTAGTAAAAAATAAAAATTAATTCTCAATACAACATTATAGCAGTTTGGTTTTTATCTTCACAAATTGGCTCTATGAATCTCTTAAAAGATTGTTCATGTTTATGTGCGATATATAGTAATACTAGATTCACTATGACTATAATGGTCGACAATACAACTAACCAAAAGCTATAACCAAAATAAGCTAATCCATGAGTATACCAAAATAGATTACGATCTTCGGCAGCCAAAACATTATGTATTAAATGTTGATAAAATTGGACAGCCCAACAAACAAAAGCTATTATTTGGCCCATAGCGGAAGAAATATTTGATACAAATAATAAAATCATAGTCCCTTTCTTTTTTGCTGCAGAAGCTGTTTTTATAATCGAAGCGATTGCTGCAATAGCACTGGCAAGTAATGCAAAGCCAACACCTAAGGCTGTAAACAACCAAAGCCAAAAACTCATTACATCCGGCTCATTTTGTATAAATGATAGCACTAAAATTTTTCTGATTAGTTATTTATAATTCCACGAAATTTATAATTTTAATCTTACTGTGTACTGATTGCGTTCGTAAACCATATCCAACGTTTAAGTCTTTTATTCCGTTGAAGAGACCATAATAAATTTCACCATGGGATTCCTATTAAATTACCATTAGAATATATTTATTTGATATTAACAACTTGATTGAAGGATATTTATTTGTCTTACCGGAATGCTGACCCTTTTTGCTGATGATCTTACCCAATGGTTTGTTGTTAGACTAACTAACAACAAACCTATTGCAAGCAGACTACCAAAAAATGTTGCAAAAACTAGGACTCTTGATTTGAAATTCGACATTTCGTTACTAGTACAAGTTGCTAACAAAACATTAAACTGCTTAATACTTTACTTCTATTGATTTAAAATTAAATCCAAATTTATCAAGGGTGTTATATAAAATTTAAAGTTGCAATTGATGTTAAATAAAAGGTCCAAATAATGGAAAAATTAAGTTTTTATTTTGTGCATAACAAAGCGATCTTATAAAATGACAAAGAAAAAATAGAACTTTTAAGTAACTTGTCCAAAATAAAATATGTGTCAATTATATTTATAAAACCAAATAATATATTAAAGTGTAATAATAAATTTTGTTTTGTTAAATTTAACCAATTTGTGTAAAGAATAAAGAACTGGATTTAAAATAAAAAACAAAGTAGAATCACTTTCACCATCAAAACGAAATTGAAACGTCAAAATTAAAACGTCAGATTTTGAAACATAAGCACTTTAACAACCACTGGGAATAATGACAACAGCTACGAGGACAAATCAAATATATTTTTTATACAAAAAAACAATACATTTTCTATCTGTACCAATTCAGGCATTGAACGAAATTAAAGCATTCACTTTTCTTATGTGAGATTCACTACATAACAAGTATATTAGAAGGATCAGAAGTGAATAAATGAAATTAAGTTAATTACTTTTAACATACATATACGACAAAGGCTACGATTTTATCTGAGTCTGATAAAACTCATATACATAATATGTAAAGCCTGTTTAACATTAGACTTTTTGTAACGGCGAAAAGTAAAATTTACTTTATTCTTATCAGATTAACTGTAATTTTTTTTTTTTAAATGGCGAAAAGCTGATTTTCATTATAGTAATCATTTTCGTAGTAAACTGTTAAAAATTTTTGTAAATTCTAAGATAGTTTCAGTCTGAAATGTAAACAGCCATCATACTTTATCATAGATTTAATCTTAGATTTTATCGTATATATAAAGAGCATCTTAGAATTGAAATGGATTGGGAAAAAAATGTTATATACAAAAACAACTTTATTGTTTATTGACCTCCAAACCTTGCACCTATACTTTTATTTCCAATCACAGATTCCTTTTTTATAAGATCCACTTTCCCTATGTGGAATTTTTGCAAACATTGTCATTTTCTAAACACTTTAAAATGAATTTCTGAACTGTCTCAATAAATAAACATGCCAAAAAACTTTTCTCTTTTTCGACATCTCAATTGTCAAATTATTTTTTTACTGTTCGATTTTATCCAATTTTAGTGAAAATAAATATATAATTTCTACTTGAAAAAATATTATTTTAATTTAAAAAATATGTTCGAATTATAATAATTGTTTTTATTTAGTGATAATGTATTGAAATTGTTGGAAATTTATTAAAATAGATCATTTATCATGCGAAAAATAAAACTTGATAATTGTTCAATACAGATTTTATTTCAGTAAAAAAAATTTTATATGACGACGTGAATGTAGTTGTGGTAAAGTAATTTTTTTCGCCAAAATAACAAAATTTGTATTTTTAAAGCTTTTTTTCATTGTAGCATAATATTTTGAAATTTAAACATAAGCAAAAGAAAAAACTAAATCTTAAAAAAGAAACAAATTAAAAATAAACTAAATATTGCCCTTCAAATTTGCAAAATAAAAGATGTTTATGTAAACTGTAAATATTTGTACAATATGTATTTTTATGCATATATTAGCTTGCCATATATGCCAATTATACCATATTTGTTTTTGTGTTCTGACCTATTTTAAATAAAATTAGTAACACTTTTTAAATTAATATATGCATTTAATAGATGAATTTTTGGCTTATCTTAATATTTAAATATTTTTGAAATGAAAATTAAAACCCATTCTTATATATTAAAAATGAAGTCGAGAAAATCCTAGTTCAATTTCTTACCTATTAAAATTCATTGTCCATAATTAAGTCAAATTTATATATTTAAAAAAAAAATATATACAAAAGTTAAATTTTATTCTATTTAAATTTATTAAAAATTATCTTATACAAATCATTTCTTTAATTTGTTCTTCATACATACTAGGTAGGATGTAGTTCTATTTGTTATTCAATAAAAAAAACTCATTATAAACATTTTTAAAATTAAAACTAATATATTTAATTACATTTTCTGATTCCAGATAAAATTGTTTATTGTTTTCTGAGTAAAGTAAGAGAGTATGATTATCCATGTTTCCAATTTATGCAAAGCAGCTATAAATAATAAAATAAAATCACCCAACAAAAAATAAAATAAAAGTTAGTTATAATTTTATTTTGTCACATTTTTTATTTGAAATATAAAATAAATATTAGATATCGTCAACCGGATTAACAACTATTCAAAGAATTTTTAAAATAAAATGTGCGATTCAAACGCAGTCCAAAAATGGGTTTGTGAATATTGTACGTACGAAAATTTCCCTCAATCATTGAAATGTACGATGTGCAAAGGCCTGAAACCACTACTTAATGAAGACATATTTCGGTAAGTACCTACAAATTATTTTGTTTTAAAAATTTTTTTCATTTATAAATTTTAATCTTTGATTTTTAGATTAAGCCCACCCCAGCCAAAAATTCAACAAAATTATTCAGGTTTAGTTGAAGCTTCTAGTTTAAGTTTATCCCAAACAAATATTAACGCATGTGGTCAATCTACAAACCCGGATGCAATGAAAAATAAATGGTCATGTCCATCATGTACATATCTTAATTGGCCACGTAGCCAACGTTGTGTACAATGTAATACACGTCGTCCACCTATCACTTCAATTCAAAATTCTAATTCAGATGAAACTGTAAATAATATCGAAAACGTTAATTTAACTATGACTTCGTCATCAACATTGCAAACTGTTTCCAATACTATAACGACAACAACAATATCCAAACAACAACAAAATTATCAACAGGAAAATCAAATTTCCTCAAAAATTTGTCAATCTGATGAACTATCATTATCACCCAAAAATATATCATCAACTAACAAGAATGGTCATTATACAAACATACATGAACAATTGAAAAATTTAAATATATCAGAGAATAATGTAGGCTCTGATCCAGATTTAGTCGCTAGTAATAATTTAAATTTAGCTTCAAGCAACAAATATTCAATATCATCTCAAATGAATAGTCCAATTGGTTCTATAACCAATTTAGCCAGTTCTAGAAATACATCTAATTTACCACCATCAATAGGAGCGGTTAGTAATCGTATAAGTCCAGTTGAAACTCGTACATATACTAATAAATGGGCTTGCACGGTATGTAAAAATGTACTAAAAATATTGTGACTTTGTTATAAATTTGAAAGTAAACGATTTTTATTTTTAGATGTGTACTTATGAAAATTGGCCAAAAAGTTTAAAATGTTCTATGTGTGGTCATTCAAAAGAAAATAATAGTGATATTAACGAACGTTGTAACTTCCTAAATAATAGATTTCCGGTTGAAAATGAAGAAAATAACGATTCGATCGGACGAAATACCATGTCAAACAATACAGTAAATAACAAACATAGGTACCAACTAGGTAGCTAGCAAAATAAATTATATTATTTTTAAACATTTTTGAAATAAAAATTATTGTATAACAGGATCTTCAGAAACAATTAACAACTGTGATAATATACAAGAGAGGCAAGAGCGTCGTCAAAGACAAATTAGACGTCAAGTAGATTGGCAATGGTTAAATGCTTGTTTAGGTAATAAAAATGCATTTTATAATTAATAACAAAAAATTTATGTTTGTCTATTTTTGCTTTATAAGGTGTTGTTGAAAATAATTATAGCGCTGTAGAGGCATATTTATCATGTGGTGGAAATCCCGCGCGCTCATTAACTAGTAATGAAATAGCAATATTAAACCGTAATTCAGCTTTCGATGTAGGACATACACTGATACACTTAGCTATACGTTTTCATCGTGAGGAAATGTTACCAATGTTATTAGCTCAAATATCTGGAGGACCAGGTATAAAAAGAGTTCCTTCGTTTATAGCACCAGACTTAGCATCAGACATTCGCCGTCATTTTGCAAATTCGTTAAGAATACGTAAATCTCCTTTTAATTGTCATTATGTACATGAGCATGCAACTTTTGCCTTGCCCGCTGATATTGAAGAGTTACCGATACCTATTCAAGAACAGCTTTATGATGAATTATTAGATCGCGATGCTCAAAAACAGTTAGAAAATCCCCCACCTGCATTAAATTGGTCTCTAGAAATAACGGCGCGACTTGGTTCTCGTTTGTTAGTTCTGTGGAATCGTAGTGCTGGTGATTGCCTATTAGATTCTGCAATGCAAGCCACTTGGGGTGTATTTGACCGTGATAATGTTCTTCGCAGAGCTTTGGCAGATAGCTTACATCAATGTGGACATATGTAAAATAATAATGGAAAAATTAATTTAATCGTAATTAATTAAAATTTTTCCGTAATTATAGATTTTACCCAAGATGGAAGGAATATGAAATGTTTCAAGCTGCTATATTACATTTTACTTTGGAAGAAACGCAATGGGAAGAAGACTGGGCATCCTTATTATCATTAGCTAGCCAACCAGGGTCTTCCTTGGAACAATTGCATATATTTGCATTAGCGCATATCTTAAGGCGACCAATTATAGTTTATGGAGTTAAATATGTAAAGAGTTTTAGGGGAGAAGATATAGGTTATGCTAGGTTTGAAGGTAAATAATTTTGAATTTAAAAAAAAAAAAACCTAAATGATATATTTCACAGGTTTATATTTGCCCTTGTTATGGGAGCAAAGTTTTTGCATAAAGTCTCCAATTGCTTTAGGATATACTCGTGGTCATTTTAGTGCATTAGTTCCAATGGAACCTTATGCTAGAATAGAAGCAAGTCGTGATGAACCAGAAGATGTTACATTTTTACCTCTAATGGATTGTGAAATGAAACTTTTACCCATCCATTTTTTAACTCAATCAGAAGTACATATACTTATTAAAAATACTATTTATATTGAAATGAAATTAAAATAAATATTTTTCTTTAGATGGGAAGAGAAGAGACAATAATGCGTCAATGGTTAGATGTTTGCTGTACAGAAGGAGGAATTTTAGTTGCCCAACAAACATTGCGTAAACGTCCACTACTAGTTGCACAAATGCTAGAAGAATGGTTAAATCATTATAGGAGAATTGCGTAAATAAATTTATTGAAATTGTTAAAACATCACAATAATTAATTTTTGTTTATTTTAGACAAGTTATTGCTGCACCTTTTGGAAGAAGACCAATAACTGGATATTCTAGTGACGGAGATTCAGATGAAGAATGAAAGAAGTATTTAGTTATTAGGAAGAAAAGCAAATAAATTTTACCTGTTTTCTAATTGATTGAAAAACCCTAAAAAAACTCACAAAAGAATGAAAAAAAAAAAAATAAACAAGGAACTATTTTAAAAATAATTGTAGATAAGTAAAATTATTATTTCACATTTTTCTGGTAAAAGAAAAACGAAAAACCAAATATGATTAATTATTTAAAAAGGGTGTTTTATATATTTTATTTAATTATTCATTTTCCACATTTTTTTCCAACAATTTTAATACTACAAAAATAAATATTGTAAATGAAAAGGTTTATATATGTATTATACATATTTGTTTAAATATAGATATACATATATATACATATGTACGTATATATATATGTATATACATATGTATATTGGAAGAATATCAACACTACACAAATTTACACTTTAAGAAAAAATAATTAGAAATCATGTAATTTACACAATCATTAACCTGTATTAAAAAAAAGAGGGCAAATTATTTTCTTCTTATCAAATTTAAAAAAAAAAATTTTAAATCAATTTTAGTTATTTAATAAAATTTTATCTTGTTAAAATTTCTCTTACAACTTGTCCAATAAAATATATATATGCGTATATATATTTATTGAATATAAAATTAAAACTACAACAATCTGTTTTTATTTGTACAAAGAAATAAAAAAAAAAAATAATTAAAAATTTATAAAAACAAAAAAAAAAAAAGATGCAAAATATCTAGTGTTAATTTATTATATGAAAAAAGATATATATTGAATAGGTATATTTGAAAATTCTAAAAAATTTCAGTTTTTCAAAAACTGTTTTAAATTTTAATTATGAAATGTTTAATTCTGAAATAAACAAACGAATTGTAAATTAAAATTTTTGCATTATGATTTTTATTTAACAAAAATATTGTACACAATATAATATTTCATTTATTTAATAAGTTATAAAACATCTTATTTCTTGAATATAAACTAAAATTTATTAAAATCTTTTGATTTCGTATAACCAAACTGTGTCCACACCTGTTCCAATTATTTTAATAGGAGTTAAATTTGGAAAAGGAAATCTGCATGCTATTATTTTACTTGAGTCTTTTGCCTCTTTAACTAATTTTTTTTCTAAATCCGACATCTAAAGATACCAATAAAAAATTGTTTTAGATACTACATATGTAAATCAATAAGGATAAATTAATTTTATTACTGACCATCTGCCCAACTCCAAATATTACTATATAATCGTATGTAGAAATGTTATATTTCCACAAATCTTTTTGAAAGAATTTCGCATTTTTTATACCGTTTTTCAAAGCTTTCAGTCTAGAGTAATAAACTAACCATCGATTTAATTCAACACCATGTGATGTCAATCCTTTATTCGCCGTTGCTGAAATTATTTTAGCTCAGATATTAAAGTTTGAAACACATCAACATTTTTTTACCAAAAACTATTCTGCCATCTCCAGACCCAATATCTAAAAGAACCTTAGAAATTTTCTGTGTATCTTCTTTAGTTGGCAGGATGGATAGCACATTTTTAATTTGTTCAGTTGTAGCTGGAACATATGGTAGACAATACCTTCTAAATGCTGGAGCTAAAATAAATATAAAAAGAACATTCTTGTGAAGTTCAGTGATTTTAATAAATAAATATTTAGGTAGGCAGGTATGTATAACAATAGCGTCAAATTAAAATGCACAAGGACCAAATTATGAGATCGTATATACATACATACTAAAATTACTAATTATATTATAAATATTTTCAGTAAAATGAAGAATTTTATTTTATAATCATCGAAAAGAAATGACCAATGTCAAAAACTGCATATACAAGTGCGAAGGTAACTTACCTACAAATGCGACAGCAACCAAGCTTATTGTTACACCAATTCCACCAGTTACCGTTATTAATGCCTTACCGGAAAATGATATTTTTCTTTTCGACACTTCATTTTTAGAATTTGTATCAATAATAGCATTTAAAGCATCCATATCTCTTGTTTATAAAACAGAAATATGCGAGACGAGAAAATTTGATGATAACAGATGTGCATATTATTAACCACTAGATTACTGCCAAATATCCCGGATTATGTCGTCATAAATAAATAGATATATAAGCAATTAATTAAAATGGTTATAAATCTATTTAACATACAATTTAAAAAATAATTCAAATGTTAATTTTGAAAATAATAGTTTACTTTTGTTAATTATTTTACAAGATTAAAATGAGAAAATATTTATTAATTCCTTGAAAAAAAAGGTAGATACAATGTAGTCAGATTTATTATACCGAACCGAGGCATATTTATGCGATTTCTGGCAATATTGATAGCATTTGACATTATGCTGTCAGATATGGAATATTGAGTTTTGGAACACTATTAACTTTGAAGTTTCAATTCAACCTTTCAAATTTCAGGATATTAGCAATTTTGTTATGATTGATTAAGTCGGAAGATATGTAAAATTTTGCTAAATTTAATAATTTATAATTTTTATAAAAATTATGGAGTCTTTTGTAATAATCAGAAACTATTCAGAACAAGATGAACTTAAATGTCAAGAACTAGTACGCGACTATGTAATGCATTTTGCAAAAAAGTCTTTTTATGCATTCTGTTTTCGTGAGGTAAATAAATATCTCTTATCCAAATATATTTTTAAAATAACCCATCATATTTTTAGATTACTTTGCAATTTATTGTAATTACCTGGGCAATATTATTTATATTTTTGGGAGTCCCATTAACTTTTTGTTCACTCACAGTTCCCGGTTGCATTTTCTTTATATTTATTGGTAAATAAAAACATAATCATAATTTATTATGTATATATATTTATTTTTATATCTTGGTTCATTTTCATGAAGCTACTTATTGCTCCTGTTATGCTAAAGCAGTGGAACTTATGCAAACTAAACCTAACCAATGTTTAGTAGCTGAAGCTTATGAGCCATTCATTTCACGTGGCAAAATTTCTAATTATCGAATTTATATTAATGAAGCACCATTTGAGCAATCGTATAAAAACAAATTTCGTAGGAAGGTAAAAAAAAATTTACAATTTTACACGTATATGTACCTACTTATTTTATATATATTTTTAATTCTTCCACAATAATTAATCCTTGTTTTTTTTTAGATTATTGGAACAGTCAGTTTAAAAAACCACTCGGCTTTATACAATGCTGGATGGATTTATAGATTTGCTATTGACCCAAATTATTCATTTCATAAAATTGCTGAACCAATGCTTAATTTAATAACAAAAAATTGTCATGAAAATGGCTACAGTAGTCTAGAAGTTGCTATAAGCGAATTCCAAGAAGATGAAAGGGATTTTTATGATTGCATGGGGTATTTATTAATTACTTACATACATATATTATGCAAATTTAATGATTTACTAATAATTTAATTTTACAGGTTTGAAACTCGTCAAATATATCATAAGCAAATAATTGGAAATAATTTAACATTGATGAAATCTCAACTTTCTTTCGATTTACACCGGGAAGTAGCTACATATTCAAAACAAAGTTGAATAATAGTTCCATTAAATTAGAAAAGTGTAATCTTAAAACTCATATCATTCTAAACAACAAAAAATATGATATTCAATTTCTAAGGCAAAATTTATATATCAATAACTTTTATATTAGCATTTTAGTAATTCAATATCATTAATTAATTTCCATTCCTAATACTTATTAAATTTGTTTTTCAAATTATTATCTACACAGACTATAAACGCACTCCAAATAACCGAGTAATATTTTTTTTTTAATTTAGCTTATATAAAATAAAATATATATTGAAATAAAAAGCTTTGACCCAATACTAAATTCAGTATTAATTACACATATCTAACAGATATTGTAAAAATATTAGATTAAATTAAATTTTTTTTCTTTTATAATTTCCTCGAATACTGTGTGCTAGATCAGGCATTAATTTTTATTGATAATATTTTGTATTACTTAAATATAATCAAAGTCTCCTTTAATTGAAATTAATGAAATAATTGGCAATAGATTATCCTTCTTTATTATATGAGATTTTAATTTAATATATTAAGAAACAAAAATGAATATAAAATCCTCAATAAGTTTCAGTCTTATTTTGAAACTTTAATCAAATTTTTTATTTGTTAGTTGTGTCAAAAACATTAGCAACTTTTTCAAAAAAAGAAAATCCGATTTTATCTTCTATGAAGAAAAGCTTTAGTAGTCGATTTAAAAATCCAAATGAAAAAAAAAAAATAAATAAAAGTTTAAATTGATTTCTCTTTTTTATACAATTTTATCATTTTTATATTTAAATATAATATAAAAATATAATTTAGTATATTATGTACATTTTTATACATTTATATTACAGTGTAACAAATACATATATCAGGAAAGTTTGTAAATAAACCGAAATCGAAAAAAAAAAATTAATTCAAATAGTATAAGCAAGAAAGCTGATCGAATAATACAAAACCACTTGGTATCACTCGGTCGTCTATCGTAAATAGTTCTTTGCCGGGAAAATTCACACACTTTTCTTAATAACATACTTACATATTAATAAATATATTTAATTTTATAGTAACATATAAGACTAAAAAGAGATATTCACCTAGACTTCACATATTTTTATAGATCTATATATATATATATGCGGATATTTAAAATCAATCAATACACATTCGTCATAATAATATTTTATTAGCTATTATAATATTATAATCTCACCCATATCACAGCTTCAATTTAACATTTGATCTCATCACAAAATAAAATATTAACGAATTTATACAAATCACTAATCAATCACTAATTTTATAATAAAATTTCATATTTAATAAAATAAAGCATCAAAACAATAATATTAAAATACAATAAAAACAAAAAATTTATTAAATATAAATTAAATGTATGTAGCCTTAAGTTGTCAAGTATAACAAAATATCTAGATTTTTTTCATTCAAATTGACGAAAATGATTTTATAATTTGTAAAAAAAAATTATTTAATATTTATTATTTAAACAAGAAGTTAGAATAAATTTATAAAAAAAAAATAATTTTAATATAAATATGTTATGTTAATAATAATATGTATGTTAATTCAAATATTTTTATAATTTAATTTAAAGTATTTATTATGTGATTTTTATAAATAAAGTAGTTAATTTTACTCAATTATTACGTTTTTTATATACAAGGAACATCAGATACTTAACTGAATACAGTTTTTATAAGTTAACAAACTTATATATAAACATGGACACTAAGAAATGAATTGCATACTTAAAATGTGATTGCGTCTTCTAAATAAGATTAAATTGAATGCAAAAAATTTAAGTCTTAACTTTTATTTAGGAATAATACTGGCCGTTTCTGTTTTAATATAAGAGGCTGTTAAAGTTATAGATAACATGTTGTAATATATTTAATAAACATAGACAAAATTTTGCATTTCTTACAGTCTAATCGTGTTACAGCCTAATTTCACTATTTCATCTCACTTTTTTCACATATCAAAATTCATTTTTCACATATCCAAATTCTTATTTCTAGTGGATATTTCATTTTTCCAATAATATGCAATCTCATTTTATCAATTGGATGTTTGCATTTTGTCCCAACTTAATTTATTATCGACTCAGCCCATTAACTTCAAAAATAAAGTGAATAAATAATGATTAAGTTTTCTATACACGAGATACGATAAGCAAAAACGAGATATGAGAAATTTCTCAGTTAAAAATTACATTAAACAAATATGTATATGATAGTTTTTGAACTTCTTCTCACTTTGCGACTAAAAGTGAGCGAAATACATGACAACGCCCTTAAAATATATGTACCATTTTGAACTCAATACAAAATTAAAAACATTAATATATCTAAATTAAAAAAACTACATTTTTTTGGAGGAATTATTCAAGTCCAATTAACTTATTCAAAGAAACTAACTAATTAATCAAGGGAACTAAGATTTTAAAAAGCAATGGTAAGAATAACGTTTTTTATTGGTTTTTAACTCGAATTTTTGAAATCGAAAATATCTTTGATCTTTAATCATTATTAAATTTTGAAAATTAAGGTATCATATTGAAAAAATGTTTTAAAATTGTTAAACATATTAAATAAAACAACACATTAAATATATTTAGCAGCTCAAAACATTTTATTATTAATCTAAAAATGCATAGTATTTTATATAGTTTCCTTTTATTTCTATATTTAATTATTTCAATTTGTTTTATTTTTTAATTTATAATTTTTAATAAATAATATATTCTTTGATTTCCTTTGAATTACTGTTTTTTTTTTTTTTATTTTGTAATATAATTTCATTATAAAATAAAAAAAAAATAAAATAAAAACATATAATTTTTTTTTTTCATAGAAATTTTTTAATTAAATTTAATTCATTTTTCAATCGGGATTAATAATTATAAATATATGAATTTTATTTTTATTGATTTACATATTATGCTATTTGTTCTGATTTTTAAATGAAAATTTATAGAATATTATTAGTTTGATTTAATTGTTACTTTTTATTAGCAAAAAGTGCTGCTTTTTTCGTGGAAAAATTGCTTCTTATTTTTTTATTTATTTGAAAATTTAATATATTTTTTTTTTGCTATTTTGTTTTCTTATTTATTTTTAATATCGATATTGAATTTGAAACTATGTATTTAAATATGTATATATGTATGTATATAAATGTGCTTTATGTAATTTATTTAAATTAAGTTTTTGTTTTATGTTTTTATTAATTTTTCTGTATTTAAGTAGTGATGTTTCTCTAGAATATTAAGAAATAAATTTTCTGAATAGAAATTTCAGTTTACAATTAAAATATAATATTCTTAATAATTTATATATTTAAAGAATTAATTTTTTTTTAATAAATTTTTAAAACTATATAATATGTACACATTATATAAATAAAAATTTAAATAAAATAAATAAATAAAAACGGAACAGATTAAAAATTTGTATTTTTATAGTTGTAATTTTAGTTAAATTACAATAAAAATATAAAAAAAAAATTAATGTAAAAATTGAAGTGTACATACTTAAATATTCTAAAATAAAAGCTCAAATTCTTAAGATTTATGATATTTTCTTTTTTTTAATTTTCAATAATAATTTTTCAAAATTATTCCGTATTAAATTTTTTTAAGTATAAAAATGGTAAAATTAAAACATTTCAATTTCAATTCATTTTATTACTATTTAGATTATAAATTAATCTCTATTCTTTTGAAATAATTTTAATAACATAAAAAAATTCAATGCTTGATTTAAATTATTTTGATTTATTTAAATTTCTGTAATCTATTTAATAATTCATCTTTATCATAATTGAATAAGTTAATTTCATTTTCTAATTAATTTTGTACTCTATGAAGTAATATTTTAATAAGTTTCAATATAAATTTTACTAATATAATAAATATTATGCTTATCTACAGAATTCTTATTGAATACGATATTTTCATAAGGAGGGTTCAAATTGTGTTTGTAGTAAATTTTGACATATTAGTTAATTAAAAGTTATTATTATATATTTCTCTCAATATGCTTATTTATTATATACATACAAATATATTTTTCATATATATACATATATTAACTTTTTTAACTTTATTAAAGTAATAAAAATTACAAAATATATTTGGGATATAATATTTTTAAACAATTTCATTTAACAGCATAAATTTACTTTAATTAACTAATTTTTAAATATCTAAATAAAAAAATTTAAATTCAAAATAATTCAAATCAAGCATATTTAGTTAGAATTATTTTTAATTAAAATTAATTTTTAAAAAAAGAGGAAATCAAAAATTATTTCTGACGACAAATTTTTTATAAATGCTTTTTGTTTTATATTAATTTCATTTTAATTTATGTTATGTATGTTGTTTTAAAAATTCACAAATTTTTATATATTCACTTATATTTATATTTTATTTGCCTCAAAATTACACACATTTTTCATTATAATTTAACCAATTAAAAATTCTATCATTTCTATGTTATAAAAGGAAAATTATTAATTATTTCATTTTTATATTAAATCAATGTTTGTGATGGGTTTGGTATTTTTTTTTTATCTTTGTATTCATTATAATAAATAAAATCAAATATTTAGAATTTAAAAAATCTAAGCACCACAAAGGAATTATGTGTAAATATCGCGAAAATAAAAGAAACACTTAAAAATAATAATATGCTAATTATTATTATTTTTGTTTGGAACATACGATAACACAATCTTTTATATTATAACTAATGTTTTATATAAAAAATTATATTATCATTAGTTTTAAACAAAAATAATTCTAAATAAACAGGACAATGACTATATAATATTGATTTTCTAATTAAAAATTTTGTATACGAATAGGTATGAGTTCAAATAAAATTCTTTGTCTGGATAATTTTTCATTTATATTGAAAAAATTTCCTAATTTCTTGTATCTCCAAATCTTAAAATATCTGTACTTAAAATGCATTGCTTTTCAAAACCAAAATATTTTTGAAAACAATTGCAGAGGCAAAAGTATAAAGCAAATTAAATAGTAAAAACTTTAATTTTTAAACACTGCAAAATACAGTTAATGTAGTTTTAAATTTAATTATTGAAAAATTCATTTCATTTCATTTTCTTTTCTTTTTCGTCTTTACTTTCTAGGAGCTATTATTTATCTTTTTTTAAAGCTTAAATCCTTACGAATTCTGCTATATTTTTAATAATGCAAAATTTTTTAAATACCAATAAATATCAATTATGTCATTATATTACTATGTATATTTTATTAATGTAGTTATAAATTTATGTTTATTCAAGTCAATATTACCATATAATATAATTTGCCATCAATTTTGTTGTAATACATTGTAATATAGCATTCTAAAATCATGTTTTATAATTTATTTATATAATAGTTTTTGTTATAATAGCTTTTAATTTTATATTAATAAGTTTTCTTTTTTATTTATTTCTTTGATGAACTTAAAAAATGTACACATCTTCTTACTGAAACTAAAAATTTATAATACAATATTAACAAAATTTTATAAAAATACTACTTAGAATATTTTAATTTATTGTTGAAATTTTAGAATGCTAAATTAACTTAGGATTCAAAGTATAAAATGTGTTATAAATTTTTTTTCCTAAACTATCGTATTAAATTTAATTATGCTTATGTTGTTTCCCAATTTATCAGAATTATGTAATATTTAACATAAATTCATACTATCTTATTCTACACAAGCCAAAAACTTTTATTATAAATTCTTTAAAATACAAAATAATAATAAAAATTTAATGAAATTTTAAAGCAAAAAAAAAGTTTATCAAATTTTTTTTGAAAAATTTTCAAGTAAGCTAATACAATAAATAATTAAATAAATGGCTAAATTTTTACAGTAAACATCAATTAAATCTATATGTACGCATTGATAGAAAACTATATGGTGATAACTAACGTATATTTGAATAAAACATTCTAAAAATGAATTAATATATTTATGTATTTATATTTATATATATATATTCATAAATTCCTATCAAATTTCATATTCTAATTTTTTGATTTAAACTATTCTAATATAAAAAAAATGTATTCTTTCTGTTTTCATGTGTTGTTTAAATCAAAAATATATAAATTTTAACCTACAGCTCTAAATATATATCTGAATTTCACCATTTCTTATTAAAATAGTCATTAAAAAAAACAAACAAATTAAAAAAAAATTAAAAACAGTTTAAAAAAGTATAATTAATTATGCGATATTATCTTCAAATAATATACACATACAAATTATAGAAAGTGCTACTCTGGCATTAAATTTTTGGTTATAAAAATTAAACTAGAAATAGATAAAAATTTAAAATTATGTGGTTCCGCAACGAAATATCAAAATAAAAGTAATCGCAAGCTCCTTGAAAATTTTTAAACTAAAGTTTCAGTTCACATAAAGGTATACCCAAGAAAATAGAAAAAAAAACTAATCTAAAAAACCAGAAAATTGTTTTCCTTAAACAATTAAATAGCTTAAAAAATATTAAATATTTCAAGATTTTTTAGGAAACTAAAAGGACAAGAGCAGCTGAATGCAAAAAAGTTCCATTAAAACCACAAATTTATAAATTGCTTTTATAGGATCCTAGATTTTCCTATGTCGTCAATGAAAATAAAATTAATTCCTTAAAATAAATTTAAAAATAAAATTTCTTTCAGTTTTGAAAGCCTTATTTTTGTAGATAACATAAATTCTCAATATTATCGATTTTGAAGAAATTCTTAGCGGAAAAGAAATGATAAAAAATATTTTTAAATATTCTACTTCACGTGTTCTTAAAATTTTTAAGCTTTACAAAATTTTAGGCTGTAATATTTTTATTTGTTTTCCTATTACTATTCATTAGAATAGAATTTTTAAAATTCTGTTTTTAGTTATTTTTTTTTTTGATTGCTTTTATCATATTATTTTTTGTTTTTACTTCAATTTTTAAATTTGTGAATAGAATTTTTTTTATATTATGCATTTGGGTATACATATATATATATGTATATATATATTGCATACATATATAATTTTTATAAATAATATTTCATATTCTGTTAATATTAAATTATTACATAATACATTATTATTTTAAAATAATCTTGCTCGTCTTTTGATTTCATTACGCCGCCATTGAGGTAAACGATAAAATTCGGATCTTGTAAATTGTAATACATGTTCAAATTCAACATCAGAAAGATGACGCTAAAATTTAAAAAAAAAATACAATTAAATATTTGAAAATAAAAATTTATCATACACATAAAATAAAAATTTTGTTACAATCAATAAAAATTTTGTTATGATACAAAATATATGACAATTCTATTACACATTTTTGTATAGATAAAAAAAAAATTAAGAAAACGTACCTCTAAATTACAGCGATCAACATCAGATGGTAATCGATAGTTTGTAATAATAAGCAAGTGATAAGGATATATTTTAGCTGGTTCATGTACAAGCATTGAATGTGCCATATTTGGTAAGCTTCTTCGAATTAAACCAGTTTGTGGATAATGATAAGATAATACGCCCGAATAGGTACTTGAGGCAGGCAATTCACCTCCCATCTAAAAATAAATTAAAAGATGTATTTATAAAATAAATTCATCACGTATATGTATTTCAAAAAAACTTACCAATGCCCTTCTATCACCTTCTGTTATTGAATCCACTGAAGCTATATTATTACAAAAAAAAAAAAAGAAAAGTTCATCAAAATTTTATTTCCCTTTTTTTTATATTAAAATAAAAAAAAAAAAACAGATTAATTTGTGAAATTCACCTCCATCGGATTTCCCACAACTAAAATCAGTACTGTGGGTTTTATCAACTAGTCCGCCATATGAGAAATCCTATAAGATATATATTTATATATTTTTTATATTTATTATGTTAGGTCTTGATGTAAAGATGGGTTCATGCTTTTAAAATAAAAATATTTTAATGAACTTAAATTTCAACTCAATGCCATCCTAATAACTTATTTTATTAACAATAACTTTTAATAAAAATATTTCTTTGAGTTTTACTTAAAAATTATTCATACATGCATCAACAATGAAACAAAATTAATTTATTCTTCAACTTTGTAAATTATTTTAAAAGTTTTCTTTACTTTTTAATTACTTTTTTAAATGATACAGAAATAAAAATTATATATAAATTATATATATTTCAAGTAAATATAGATGCACTAAATTTTAATACTTGCATTATTTAAAATTTTTAGTTTTCTTATTGTTAAGTTAAAGTGAATGCGAACATTGTGTTGAAATTTAAAAATATAAATATATATATATATATGAATATAAAATGAATGTGTGCTATGAAAAGGGAATTTTGGATTGTAAGTCAAAGCATCAAGCAAAACAGTTTTTAAGAAAATGTAATTGGCAATATAATAAAAAGTGCAATTTAATCATTATTTGGAAATATGTGAACTAAAGAAAAATTTTATAAAATTTTTACAACACCAAAAATAATATTAATATACATTTTGCAATTAAAGAACACATGAGAAAAAATCAGTTTTCATTTTCTTATTCAATAAAATCTTAAATATTTTCTTTTTTTATAATTATAATTTTATTTATACAAATAAAAGTTAATTAAAAATTGTCAATATTATTAAATTGATGTAAAGCATAAATCTGTATTATTAAAATTTTTATGAATAATATAAATCTCATTGTTCTTATAAAACAAAGAGGAATTCTTTGTGTAATTTAATTACAAATGTATTTAAAACAAACAAGTAAAAAATTTACAATTTTTCAATGTGCAAAATCAAAAATATTTTTTATGATTTTAATTTAAATAAATAAGAATAAAAAAAAAAATAAAAAAATTCAATAAAACTTAATGGAATAAACAAATAAGAATATGCGAATGGTAACAAACTTGCATAAGAATATACATTCTTATTTTCAAAAGAATTTTGAATTTATGAATGCATTTTCAAAAAACCTAAATTCATCTAATATACCATAGATAGAATCAATTAAAAACTTAAAAGTACAAAAAAATTATGTATATAAAGCTACAAAGAAAAATTAAGTTTCAAAAATATTTTTCACTTTTAAAAACCAATATTCATTTTTTTTTTTATTTGAATAATTGATCAAAAATTTTTTACTGACAAAGGCAATTAATATATTTTAATCTTGAAAAAAAAAATCATATCTAAACTATTTTAATTTTTTATATTCTAAAACTTATTCAAACCGAATTACTATTTCTAAATAATTTAAAACTTAGGATACAAAATTAAAAATATGTAGAAACATAAAAAACATTCAGAATGTAAATTATAATTTGTGTCAAAAAAAAATTTAAATTAATGCGAATTAATTCAATAACATTCATAAAAAATATTAAACCTACAACAGCATACACTATAATAACAAAATATTAACATCTTAAAATTAGAATAAATATAAAACAAACCTTAATACATTAAATTGAGAAAATTAAGAAAAGAAAAATGCACAACCTTTTGAATATATTTTGTATATACACAAAAATAGAAAATGTAAAATAAAATTTAAAAATAAAATTAATTCAAAAAAAGGAACTTTGACTAAAACGGAAAATATAAAAGGAAAATATTGTGAAAAACAAACTTTATTGCGAAAATTTTTAAGCATTTCCTAATTGTCGATTTGTTTTGATTTTTATTTTGAATTACAGAATAAATTAATTATAGCTTAAAATATTGTTTTAAAAGTTGGTTATAATTAGAATATTTACTTATATTAAAATTATATACGAAACATGTAGATTAAAATGAATAATTTAAAATAATAACGTAGAAGTAATATAAAGAAACCGTGTTGTGTTAATTGAAATGTTTCCGAATTCTTAAGAAAATATTTAAAGTATCTTTAAGAAATTAAATGTGTAATATTCATTTTTAGCGAAAATGAAATTAAATTAAAAAAAAATCATTAATTTATTACATATTTATATGAATAAACCTATGTAAGAACAATAGTATATGAAATTTGAAAAATGAAATTTTTTATTTCATTAAATTCACCGAACTTTAATAGATAAGATCTTATTTAACCTAAGTATTATTTCTAAATAATTTAGATATTAGATTTGAACTTTGAATAAAAAAAAAATTAAAACTGTAATATTACTAATTGTAAATTATTAATAATTAAATTAAATTTTTTAGTTTAGGAAATGCTTTTAGAAAGAAAACACATCGACATTTATTTAAAAGCTTACGGTAGCGGTAGGTTGTGCAACAGAACCAGTAGTTGTAGCAGAACTGAAAGTATGCGAGCGAGGAGCCAAAGTGTATCCAGGTTTAGGAACATGACGTCGCGAACTCACCACTTTTGATAATTTTTTTTTTTTTAAAGATGTTGTAAATTTTTCAATATTTAAAACAGTTTTGCAATATTTCATAAATTAATAGCAAAACAATATTATAATTTCCCAGGCGCATAAAAATTTGTTAGATTCAATATTGAATTTTATATAATGATATTTTTTGTTTTTTAATTTATTCAAAAGCAGCATTTAAAATAGAAAGAAAAAAATATTTCTCATAAATATTCTGCCATGTTTAAAAAAATAACTATATTTCAATGTAATCATATTTTTTATTAACTATTATTAAAACCTAATATTTTGAAGTAAGATTTTCTTTCGAAATTAGCTATAGTACATTTTGATATAACAAAAATTTAAGCAAAATTTTAATTAAACTTTAACAATGTATTTTCATTTTTTTTTATTTTAAAGATATTTAAACCTATATACAGAGTAAAATTTGGGTAAAAAAAATTATCTGATTCTTTTTCAATAATAGATTTCATTCAAGAAAATCTTACTTTTACTTTTTCCTGATCACTTAGAAAAAAAAGTAAATGAAATAAAAATTTTTTTATCGGTAATCATTTTGGTATTCTTCTTATTTGACTTTGTCGCAATTAATGAAACTTCTAATGACAAGAGTAATTAACAGCTAGTCATTCCTATGATGAAAGGGCAAAACCACACGATTTTGTTAATACAAGAAAACTATAAAAGCAATGTGATTTTTGTTATTCATTTATTTTAATTGTAATTACAATTATTCATTGTTATTTTTACTAAAGAAAAAACCTTTACTAAAAAAAGTACAGAAAAATGCATCCCATTTTTATTTAATTTTATATTCTTATTTTGTTAAATTTTGTATAAATGTGAAAAGAACAGAGTGTGTTAATAAAAAAAATGTTGTTTAATGAAGATTTTTTTTTTTAAATTTTATAGTTGCATTTGATTTTTTGTTTAATTAATTTGCACTTACTGAACTATAACCATTTCTAATTGAAGGCGGTAATGTGGAAGTTTTAAAGCCGTATCCTGGTTTTGGTGGCGATCGATAGGAATGTATTGCTATTTTTATACAATTTTGGAAAAAATAGTATTAAAATTTAATATTGCTTTTCTGATCTTTTTGTATATTAAATTTGTTAGAATGTTATTCAAAATTTGTTTTTATTATTTTAATTTTATTATCTGAAATTGTTCGCTATGAAGGTAAAAGTTTCATTTTTGCAGCAAATATTATTTATTGTAATTTTGATTTTAGTAAAAAAAAGTAATTTTAACAAAGCGGAAATAAAAAAGGATATAATTATATTATGTAATAAAAATTTTTTATATAATTTATAGTACAAATATGAAGAAAAGTTGTCAAATCCTTCAAAACCGTGTAAGTACGTAAAAATCGTACATTTTCATTTTAAATTATTTTAATTAGCAACATATAACATTTAACTATTTTAATATTTAGCTACATATTTTTTTACTTGAAATGAGTTCTGCTCTTTATACAAACATTAGATTTACATAAATTCGTTATGATTTTTATAAAAATTTAATCGAAAAAGTTTTTAAAAACAATAAATCGTAAAAAATTAATGATGAAAATTTTCAATCAACATGTTTGCCCAGAACATAGTTCACTACAGAATATTACAATTCATTTAAAAATACGTAATAAAAATTTAAAATTTTTAATTGACAATTTGATTTTAAATAAAATCAATTTATTGTTTTTAAATTGATACCGAAATTATCTTTTAGTAATTCTTTTCTTCATATTTATTGATTATAATTTAAAATAAAACATTATTAAAATTATAAATAAATTTTAATTTAAGAAAAACTGAAAGCCAATTGTTAATTAGGGAGGCATACCATTATAACTGGGTGCATTACCAAGTGATTTTCCAACGGATCCTCTATAGCTAGTTGATCTATCAAATATTTCGTCATCATAAAATGGTTTTTGGTGATCTGCATTTCTAGATGGTGAAGCTCCTACAGGTGATTCATAACTACAAAAATATATGTTGATAATAAAAACTTTATGAAAAAAAAAAAAACAAAATGTTCGTTTTAATAGTTAGCTCTACCGTAATTTATAAACAGGCTCTTTTGATGCAGATGGTGTTCGTGACGCATTTCTCGGATCCAAATTTTGTTGCTTCCATTTTCTATATCTAACAGCTTCCTTGAGATCCCTTGCTATTACAGAACCCATATTTGAATTTAATTTTTCTAATTCTTCGGCTTCTTTTTTTAAACGTCTGAAAGAAACATTAACTAATTACTAATTTAAAATAATTTTAAAAATAAAAAAATATTTACTCGGTTTCTGGTTCCTCATTTTCTTCATTGTCTACTTCGTCTTCATCAGAATTTGGTACACCTCTATATGTATCGGAATATCTGCGTCTTCGTTCGGGATCTGTGTATGGATAAGGAGGGGCAGGAAAATCATCACGTTCTATTTTTGGTTTTTCGCCAGGTGGCGGTTTTTTTGCTCCTGGATAATGTGATAATTCTATTGGTTCTTCGTTATTCATATGTGGACTTTTTGGTCTCGGTGTTTCCGAACGTATTGTATCAACTAAAACTTTCATAGCACTACGAGAATGTGGTCTAGATGAAGGTCGACTGCTTGTTGTACTACCAAAATTAGATGGTCTATGAAAGTGAGGTGAAACTGGGGCTTTGTCATATGGTTCAATTGGACGACGTAAGTAATGTGGTTCATCGGTTAAGTAACTATAAGTGTATATCCTGGAAATGTCCTCATAACCATGTCGACCATATTCACGTAAAATTAATCCTGGACTTACAGTGCGATACTAAAATTAAAAGCAATAATTAATTTCAATATTGAAAACGAATGCAATCACTATTAAAATACAAATTTGCTATTGTGTTTTAAAAATTTAGCGATTAAAATGTTGGTGCTTTATTTTAGTTGTGCTTCCAACAATATGTTTCAAAACATGACAATAGCAAACACTTAAAGCGAAAAGTATTAAAAATTTTGGCGGTGTTTTTAAAAATTAAAAAATGAATTAATAAAATAAAAAATTAAATAAAAGTAAATAAAAATTAAAATTACAAACCTTTCGGCTAGAATAAATAGAACCATTAATGCTTGGTGTTCTCGAACGTAAAAACTGCAAAAATGCAAGCCAAAATAATGTTAAATTAAAGAAAAAAAAAGAAAAAGCTACATGCATGGTTTTACAAAGTTTTAAATTAAAAAGCCCAACAAAAAATAAAAAAAAGCAATTGAGTGAGTTTATTTTATTACTATTATTTGCTCATTGCTTAAAATCGTGATAATTTTAGAAAATATTTCTTAAAATGAAAACGTTCAATAACCAAAATTAATTACCATTTCACTTATCGCACTAGAACTAACATGATCACATTCACCATCTGTAAAGTTTCCATTTTGTCCAACAGATATTGGACCCCCATTTAATAAAGCACCTGTTTCTGATGGACCAGGTCCACAACGTGGATGCCATATAGCACTACCTTGTAAATACATTTCTTCACCATCACCAAATGGATCACCACATTTGGTACACCTAGCACAAGTCGGATGAAAATGATGATTATCGCCTGCCTGCAGGACTTTACCACTAATATATCGATTGCAATAAGCACATTTAACTCCAAAAGATTTTTGGTAACATTTCTCACAATATGGTACACTATCTTTTCCCATATATTCGCCATTTAATACAGCACTACATGATTTACAACGAAAGCACCATATATGCCATTGGCGATCCAATGCTATTAATGCTTGCCCTTCTTTTAATAATTCCCCACAACCGGCACATTCATTTGGATCATAATCTTTTCTTAAGCTAGCACGATCTGATATAACACCTGATTGATTTTGTTGATGGGCAGTAGCACGTGTTGGGCTCATTGATGACACTTCACGTTTAATTTTTTCTTGTTCTTGCGGTGGTTGTTGTTGTAATTGCTGTTGTTGTTTTAGTTGAATTTGATTATTATGCTGATTATGTATTTCAGGTTGAGTTTCTATTTTATTAGATAATAATGATTTCGCTGGTGATGCTGTAGTTGAAGATTGCGCGACACAATTTTCACACAGAACATCTTTACCAATATTTGTTACCTAAAATAATTTTTTTTTATATTAGAATGAGATAGAACATATGAAAAGGAAAACTTATTGGCTTACTTTACTTCCAGATTGAAATGGATGTTTACATTTTGTGCATGTAAAACATTTCTGATGATAGGTATTTCCCATCGTTGACACAACTTCACCTTCAACATATTGATTGCAGGCAGCACATTTAGTACCATAAAGTTTTTGGTAATCTGGTATACAATAATATGAAGAATCTTTGGTGAAAAAACCACCAGTTGCTAAAGATTTTTTACATTTACAACATTGAAAGCAACTCTTATGAAAATGTTTGTCGGCAACACGTAAAACTTCACCGGTGCATTTCTTTTGGCATTTAGCACAATAAACTTTGTTTTTGCCTGAAAATATAAAATAAAATAATTTTAGTTTATAAATATCTTAAATTAAAAAAAAAAAACAATTATACAAATACGTATTAGAACATTATAGTTTTCATTTATAAATGGAAATCATATCTTTTAGCTCTTTTCATGCTTGTTTTGATATTAATTTAATATTTACAATATTATTTAACACATTAGAGATTTTATTTAGAAATTATGTATTTATTGAATACTTAGCTTTCTGAAAAACACAATTTAATGAACTCTTAAAGAACCATCTCATATAAAACGAAACAATAACATACTTAGAATCACTTAATAAAGAAAGATTAACTATCCCTTTAATAATTTTCAGCAAAATTTAAAAACATGTTGGAGCAACTTCTTTCATCAAGAGACAAAACCTAAACTATATAATTATGAACATTGCAATATATTTGAAAGCACAAACTTGACGTAAATAACAAAAAACTTTGTATTTCATATATTTACAACATATAATCTAACATTAACAAAATTGTTACACACTTTGTAACACTTAAATCAAAGACAATTGAAACTAAGCAGTTAGATACGAATTATAAAATCAATTCTTAACAGAACCAATCATTAAAATTTTAATACATGCTCCAATTAATTTATTATGTTCATTACTCTATTTCCTTTGAATTTTGAAGAACACAATTAACTTTAAACCAATTATCAAGTTACATGAAATCATAAACTACTTTTCTTGAATACTAAACATAATATGTTAGACACATACTTTCCACTTTGATTATTTGCTATAAACAAATTGTTGAAGACTCTTTTGAACATCAATATTAAAATTTCACAATGTTTATTTTAAAAATAATTTGAAAAGAAATAACAGAGAAACTAACCAGCCTTACACAAAACAAAAAAGACATTTAAAATGAAATTTATTATATTGCAATAAAATTAATTACAATTTTATTGAAAATTGAATGTATAAATAAAAATTTAAATACTAGAATTAAATTTTTAATTAATTAAAGATTTCCCCTTTTTGTATTTATTTATTTAAATTCAAATACTCGTATAGTTTTATTTATTTTATTTTCATAATAAATTTTAATTATTCACAAATTCTATTAATAATATTATAAATTTTATTTTAATAATATTATAAAATTTACATATTATACATACTTTCATCCATCTGGTATATTTGCTTAATTTATTCAGGTATGTATGTTGCCTGTATATGTATGTATATTGAATGTAGTACATCAAATGTTTGCATTTTAAAAATAAAAATTAAAATTTTCCGTCATTATATAATATATTTAACTCTATGAATTATCATATTAACATTAATATTTCTAAATTAAAATTAAATTATTATTTTGCAACAATATTTCTTTAATTAGAAACAAATTTGTCAAAAAGTTGATGAAAATCCAAGCACGTTTTTAAATTATAATGATTACCCAACTAACAATTGAAAATAATGAATAAGTTAGCGAAAAAATATCTACCGTGAAGACTAAATGTGTAATCGACAAATTACAACATAAAATGCGCGTTGATTTCTTTTGCATCTTATTCGATATTGCAGTTAACAAAAATATTGTAACTTTTGATGTTGTCAACAGAGTTTTTGCAGTATAACCTTTAATGCAAAAAACAAATGTCACCTTACAATTTTTTTGCCATTATTGTTATAAAAAAATTTCAACTGCTTATTTTGTTTTTTTTTGAAAAAGGGAACTGTTGGCAACTGATTGTATGCAAAAGTTGTATAAAGAAGTTGATATCAAATATTTTTAGCATAAATTGATTGATAGACGCTTGGTAACCCTTAGATGCAACTATTGTCGAGCGGAATTTGGCATTATCGATTACACCTTAATTGATGAAATTTAAATATGTAATTGTATAATGAAAAAAACTAGCTTGTTATATAAATGTACGGAAAAGCATTAAATGTCTTATTAAAACTAAAGTTTCCTATAAAATTATCCAAGTTCATAAATTAATTTTACTACTTTTATTGATTTATTACCAAAGCAATTTAATTAAATAAAATTGATTTTCTCCTAAATAGCACTTTATTATACGAAAATTAAGAGTAAAAAGTGTGTATTAGACGCTAAGAAAAATACTTTTAAAAATTACTCGTAATTGTATTAAAATTTAAATTAATTAAAATTTTAAAATTTCATTTTCAATCTTAATATGCGAAAATATAACATTATCGTTCTTTTAAAATTCACTAAATTATTACTGAGATTTAACTGATTTAAATTGTTTAATACCCATATTTGACTAAACCAATTCATAATGACAACCATTTTAATACAAACTTCAAAAAAAAAAAGACTTACCATCGCGCTTTTTTTTTTTAAATAAGAACAAATCTACATAAAATTAAAAATATCTACTTATAATTTTTTTTAATAGCACGTTAATATTACCTTGCATATACAAAAATATTTTATAAATTTTCTCTAATTAAAAAACTCAAAATTTACTTTGAAAATCCCTTCTTAAATACATACGCAATCAATGTACAATTCAAGACACATATATAATTATGAATTAATGAAACAATTGGAGTAATTAAATATTTAGTTTAGAAAATATCTATGCGTATACATCATATGAGTTTTTAAATAATTTTAATGACTAAATTAGTTCAATATTATGTATGAAGATTAGTTAACCTTTAAGTGACTTGAAACCATAAATTTTTATTAAGTAATTGTAATAAAAATAAAATTCCAAAAAAAATTTTTTATTCTTTTTTTTTTCTTTCTATACTCGTAATTTTAGAATAATATCAATTTAAATCTTTTTATATATGATTTCCTTAGTTATAATTTGAAAATTTAAAATTATCATATTGTCACATAAAGTTTAACATTAACAAAAAAAATTATTTTCGTTTCATGAATTCTCTTGATGATATATATGTATGTATGTACGTACAATTCAATAATTACTTATTTAAGAAACAAAAAAAAAAAAATATAAAAAAAAAAGAATAATTTCTTTGCTTCTATAGTTTTGAATCCCTCCTTACCATAGCCGAAACAATAATATCCAAAAATTTCTCTTAGTTCATAGTACAAGAATACCACCTCGGTCATTCTATTTAAAAATTATGTTGAACTATAAAATAAAAAAAAATGTTGGTTTTTATAATAGATATTTTACATTATTTATGAAATTTCTTACATATATGAAAAAAAAATGCTTTTGGTTTTTTAAGAATTTCTCATTTTTTTACACAAATTACTTAGATAGTTTAACATTTTTTTGTATCTAATAATAGAATAGGTATATAGAAGAAAATTAAGAATTCATTTTAATTAGTATATATACATAGATAGTATAAAAGAAGATTCTTAGAAAATTTTAATTATACGAAAATAATCCAATATTTTCAACTACTCCAATAATAATCAAAAAGTGCTTTAGCAAAGAAGTTTTAACTGAAAAAAAAAATTGTGACTTTTACTAAAATCAAATAAATAATTTAGATAAAATACCTACATTTCTACAAATATAAAATTTCTACTTTTTTCTACATAATAGATTCTCAATTTTACCTAAAAGTAAGTTAGATTTTTCTTATTTTTTAATAATTATTATAAAATTCATACTCTGTGATTTGATATAAATATTTTGGCTATATCAGCCATATCCATATTTAAATTTTTTTTTTAATTTTTTTATACTATTTATTATTTTATTTATAGAGGCAAAACCCGTTAATTAGAATTGGAATTAAGCATTCCAAATAAATTTCTTTTTTAAAAAATTTCTTCACCTGTTTGTGAATGTGATAATACCTTAACCATCCAACACATTTACGATGATTGTCACAAAATTTCAAGTATAAGAATAAAATACACAATATTCAAGTCTTGTAAAGTGAAGACGAAATATATCACAACAATATTTTTGAATTCTTAAAAGAAATTTTGAAGACCTTTTTAAAAAATTATTTACCTTTGTATTGTATAACTTTATATATACATAATTACATATTGTAAAATTATGTATGCATCTTAATTAATTATTAAAAATTATATTAAAAAATTATATGTCAGTAACCGAAAATAAAGTTTGCAAGTTCATTTCAAATGCAGTTGACTACATTTTTTGTCTGTGAAATTTTTTACGAATGTCAACACTTACAACAGCTGAATAAATTTTTAATATGCTCACATAATTTCTTATTTTTTCTACTTTTCCATTGAGATTACTCATTACCTCTTAATATAAAGTTTGTAGAAAAATAATATATACTTATATTTATTTGAATTCAAAAATAAAAAACATTTTTGGGAAAAATTAATAATATTATTGAGTTAAAAAATTCAAAAATGTACTGAAATTTCAAAATTTTCAAATAATTTTATTTTTAAAATCTGATCGTTACTATACATAAAATTTTAATTGAAAAAACAAAAACAATGTTTGGTATATAACTATTTTACATAATTCTTGTACTCAAATCTTTATTTTTCATAAATGATTTCCTATATGTAATTAAGATGCGATTACTTTTTTTAATTATCACTTCGTTTATTCATTCTACTTAAACAACTGCGGGAACATAAAGAACTTGACTAAATAAATAAATTTTGACATTAAAATTTTGTGTCAAATAATATGACAGACATAATATTAGTGCACAATATGTATGTAAATATATTTATGCAATTAAGATGCTATAAACAAATTTTTTCGTACACTTAAGCTTTTCTCTTTTATATTATTTCATGGTCAAAAATTGCTTATAATTGATTACTTAAGTATTACAAGATGATATTGGAAAATATTTATTGAATAATTTAAAATAATAATTTCCAAGTCATTTATTTTAATATAACGGTATAGAAAATTTTCACTGCACTCAAATAATAACAATTATTATTAATATTTAAATAACAATACCAGCACAATACAAATTTTTCTTTCAAATACCAAACCAAAATGTTAAAAATACCAAACAATTTTAAAAATTTTTAACTAATAATAAAAAAAATTTCACACCCTTTTTACTCAAATTCTAAGTTATAAATAACAAAAATTTAATTTTATTATTTTTTTTCTACCAATTAAATTTAAATTTTTCTTAATATGGTCTAACATTTTATAAAACTGAACACAATTTACAATTTGTGCATATCATTTTATTTTTTTGTATAAATTAAATTTGTTTCAATTTTTTCCCTTCTTCTCGTAGCGCATACCAATGTTTTAGTTAAAAAATAACATCGACTACAAACAATAGCATTACTCCTAATTTACAATATATTATTGTTTTAATTGAAAAATTAAGTCAATTTTATGAATTTAAAAATTAAAACAAAAAATTGTAAAACAGAAATCCAGTAGAGCAACAAAAACAAATTCGAATTGATAACTTATATGACACGAATGACATAAAATGTATGCACGATAGACCCATATGTATATCCATATGTGAAGTAAAGCCGCTATCAATTATACATATGTATTGTGCATGTAAACATAATATAAATATGAATGTATATCTAATACAGTTTTGTATATTTTAAATACCCAGTTTATGTTATGCACATATTTAATTAGATGCTAGGGCACATGTAGTGTAGGATAATGTATTCGAGTACACACAGATGTTATTAAAATTGAAAGGTGTCACGACATGAAAAAAGTTACTTATGTTAACTAAAATAAAACTAAAAGCCATAAATTCTAGTACATGTTTATAAGTAGTTGGGCTCTTTATTTTTCGTCAATACTGTGTATAAAATTATAAATTCATAATAAATAGTACTTCCAAATAAATATATAATAATCGTATGTATAATAACATTAACGACCATTAATAACCAAGTACGTATATGCACTAATGGTTATTATAAAAATAAACTTCTGTGCTACCGGACGTCTAACCTAAACTTAATTTGAATTTTAACAAAATGATAAACTTCTCTTTACATTTTTAAATATCTTTATTATCAATGTCAAAGAGTGAACAAAAACAAACATCCATATTAAAAATTCATTGTATGAATATGTACTTAAAAAGAAAAAGAAAAACAATAATAAATTATGAGAAAAAAGAAAAACTAAAAGAATAAATGACATACAAAAGACAACAAAAGGCAGAAAAAATTTAATTGGAAAATATTAACAGTTAAAAAAAAAGTTCTTTAGATAGTTATGTCATCAAGTCATCATTATGATTATATTTGAGTAATAATGCAACAGCGCCAACAAAGTTCATAAATGATATGACATTTTATCGTTGATCATGTCAACTATACAAAATACAGTTTATTTTATAAAGATAAAAATAAATTATAATAAATAAGCTTTTACTTTTATAATTAGATAATAATTTTTTTATTTTATTTTGTTATTATAAAATAATACGGCAGTAAAATTAAAATTTTTATCACACTTTTATTAAATAATATTGATTTTCGTCTACCTAGCACTCAAAATACGATGAAATAGTAAAATGAGTGTGCATTAGACGGTGGAACTAGAAGAAATTTGAAATTTTAACAATGATATAATAATAATAAGGATCTTCCAAGAGATTATTGTGAATGTAACTATAAAAAATGAAATGATTACATTCATGTTATTTTGTAATTATCAAATATTTTGACAATAAAAACGATACTTTTATCATACTCTTCTTATTTAATAATATTGATTTTCGTCTATCTAGCACTCAAAATACGATGAAATAGTAGAACGAGTGTGCATTAGACGGTAGAACTAGAAGAAACTTGAAATTTTAACAATGGCCTCACTAATATAATAAGTATTTTCCAAAAGATTATTGTGAATGTAACTGTAAAAGATGAAATGATTACATTCAAGTTATTTTGTAATTATCAAATATTTTGACAATAAAAACGATACTTTTATCATACTCTTCTTATTTAATAATATTGATTTTCGTCTATCTAGCACTCAAAATACGATGAAATAGTAGAACGAGTGTGCATTAGACGGTAGAACTAGAAGAAACTTGAAATTTTAACAATGGCCTCACTAATATAATAAGTATTTTCCAAAAGATTATTGTGAATGTAACTGTAAAAGATGAAATGATTACATTCAAGTTATTTTGTAATTATCAAATATTTTGACAATAAAAACGATACTTTTATGATACTCTTCTTATTTAATAATATTGATTTTCGTCTATCTAGCACTCAAAATACGATGAAATAGTAGAACGAGTGTGCATTAGACGGTAGAACTAGAAGAAACTTGAAATGTTAACAATGGCCTCACTAATATAATAAGTATCTTCCAAAAGATTATTGTTAATGTAACTATAAAAAAATGAAATGATTACATTTCTGTTATTTTGTAATTATCAAATATTTTGACTATAAAAATGATACTTTTATCATACTCTTCTTATTTAATAATATTGATTTTCGTCTATCTAGCACTCAAAATACGATGAAATAGTAGAACGAGTGTGCATTAGACGGTAGAACTAGAAGAAACTTGAAATTTTAACAATGGCCTCACTAATATAATAAGTATCTTCCAAAAGATTATTGTGAATGTAACTATAAAAAAATGAAATGATTACATTTATGTTATTTTGTAATTATCAAATATTTTGACAGTAAAAATGGTACTTTTATCATACTCTTTTTATTTAATAATATCGATTTTCGTCTATCTAGCACTCAAAATACGATGAAATAGTAGAACGAGTGTGCATTAGACGGTAGAACTAGAAGAAACTTGAAATGTTAACAATGGCCTCACTAATATAATAAGTATCTTCCAAAAGATTATTGTGAATGTAACTATAAAAAAATGAAATGATTACATTTATGTTATTTTGTAATTATCAAATATTTTGACAGTAAAAATGATACTTTTATCATACTCTTTTTATTTAATAATATCGATTTTCGTCTATCTAGCACTCAAAATACGATGAAATAGTAGAACGAGTGTGCATTAGACGGTAGAACTAGAAGAAACTTGAAATGTTAACAATGGCCTTACTAATATAATAAGTATCTTCCAAAAGATTATTGTGAATGTAACTATAAAAAAATGAAATGATTACATTTATGTTATTTTGTAATTATCAAATATTTTGACAGTAAAAATGATACTTTTAT